GTCTTGCACCCCCCGCCAGCACTCAGAGCCCCGCAGTAATTGAATCGATAACGAGCTACCGCGATCCGCAGCCCGAGTTTGAGGCGATGTACCTGCTGATGCCGACAAGCCAGAACGTCGAGCGCCTCATCAAAGACTTTTCGGGTGTCAGGCAATATGCCAAGGCGCATGTGTTCTTCATGGAAGGCAGGTCCTGTGCGTCGTTTGCCCGTGTTCTGCTGACACTTTGCGCGCAGGGATTGAGGAGCCGGTTCTCAAGCGCCTGATGGCGTCTCCGGCGGAGCCCTATCTCGAGAAGCTGACGGAGCTGTTTGTGAACTTTTGGGGTTTGACTATTCCTTGTACCCCTGCGCTCCTTCTGACCTCTTGGCAGCCGCGGAGGCGCAGACATTCTCTTTACAGGCCCCCGAGTTCTTCTTCAGCATGTACAGCCCGCCCCGAAGTGAATCACAGTATAAAGCTGCTCGCGACCGGCTCGAGGAGGAGCTCCGATTCGTCGCAAAAGTTGTGCGTTGGTTTCATCTGGTTTCTTATTTTCCTGTGCCTTACGTTCCCCCGCAGATCACCAACGTCTGTATCACATTCAATGAAAACCCCTACATCCGCTATTACGTGCCCACAAATCATCCTCCGCTCGGAGCCCTGAAACCCCACGCGTCGACACGGCCCCCGCCGCCTCCTGAGGCGAGCGGACGTTGGCGCACCAATCTCGCACGCGGCGCTGAGGCGCGCGCGTACGAATCCGTCGACGGTGACTACCTCACCAAAATTCTCGCCCACTTCGTGCAGAATAACCTCGACGAGTACAAGAAGGCGAATCCCGAATTTGGGGTGCGTGTTGCCAGTCGGCATGTCGAGTCTGCGCAACCTGATCGCCGTTTATCCAGAAACCGACGGACCCGTCCGAAGCGCAGCGGCCACGGGGAACACTCTTCATTACAGACCGCGCGATGGACATGATTGCTCCGTTCGTGCACGAGTTTACATACCAGGCCATGGCGAACGACCTGCTCCCCATTGAGGACGGGTCGAAATACACGTTCGTACTGTATTTTGTATATTCACGGTTGTGCTTACAACGTCCTCTAGGTATAAATTCCAGTCCTCAATAGGAGCGTATGAGGACAAGACGGCGACGCTGTCGGATGCGGATACGGTCTGGACGGAGGTCCGGCATATGCACATGCGGGAGGCTATCGACAAGCTCATGGCCGATTTCAACAAGTTTTTAGAAGAGAACGCGGTATTCAAAGGGTGTGTTGCACTAGCCGCTGCTTTTACTGAGCGCTTATCTTGTCTGTTAAGGGAGGGTGCGGCGAGCTTGAGTGACATGAAGGAGATGCTTGCGAGTCTCCCACAATACCAGGAGCAGCGAGAAAAGGTGGGGATTGGCCGCTCCGTAGTTCATCCGCTTACCCGTCCCAAATAGTTTTCGCTGCACCTGAACATGGCCCAGGAATGTATGGGCCTTTTCGAGCAGGACAAGCTACCCCTTGTGGCCCAGATCGAGCAGGTACTCGCAGTGCAGACAATCCGCGAGGCTTTGCTCATGTATCCTGATAGGACTGTGCTACGGGCGTGACTGCTGAAGGCAAAAGCCCAAAAAATCTGGTGCAGGACATGGTGCCCCTTCTTGACAGCCGAGAAGTAATGTATGCCTCAAAGCCTCTCTCTCGTGCGCTTGACTAATGCGGCCACGCACCAGAAACCTCAACAAAGTGCGCATCGTCGCCCTGTACATCCAGCATCGAGAGGGTGTGCCAGACGAGGACCGGCGGAGGCTGTATCAGCATGCGCGGTTGACGATGGCGGAGCAAGATGCTGTCAACTCGTTAATCCATCTTGGTGTTCGTATCACCCGGGTGCGCGTCCTTCTTTCTCTCTCCATTAGACTGTCTCTTGACCTTTACCATAGGGACCTGGGGATCGTGATAAGAAGAAGATTAAACAGAAACCTAACAATAACGAGGAGTATGAGTTGTCGCGGTTTAAGCCGACCATGAAGACTATTTTGGAGGTACGACCGGTACTTCCAATTAACTCGTAGCGATTGACGGTGTGCCGCAGGACCATGTTGTGGACAAGCTGGACAAGTCACTATTCCCTTATGTCCGAGAATCTCCGTCCGCCGCTGCACCTTCTGCTAGCCTGCGAAGCGCCCCAGTACAGACGACCTCGCTACGCAGTCAGAAGCCAAATTGGCACAAGGCAGCTCAACCTGGTGTAACCAAAATCCGCGAGCGGATTATCGTCTTCGTCGCGGGCGGCATGACCTACTCAGAGATCCGAGAAGCGTACCAGCTCTCGACGTCGCTGAACAAGGATATTTACATCGGTAATCTGGTCTTCGTACCCTACCCGTGTCGCTGCATACTGACATCCGTGTAGGCTCAACCCACGTACTTACCCCCCGCCAATTCATCAAGGACCTCCAGGTGGTCGAGCTGCAAGGGCAGGGCTCGAAGGCGATCCCGAATGGGCTGAAGGATGGTCGTGGTGGAAGGTCGTTCCAGGAGTATTATGACGAGCGATACTACCTGCGGGATGCGCCTCCGCCCGCGCGGCCCAAACCTGCCGCATCCTTGGCACCACCACGCCAGGTCCGGCCAAGCCCTTCGCCAACCGATTCGTACGCGTCAAACGTGTCTAGTGCGCCGTCCATGACGCCCTCGGCCCAAGAAGAGAAGAAGAAGAAGAAGGGGCTGTTCCGGTTCTAACTGATTCGTCCGACAATGAGAGAATTGCCTACTGCGATACCCGTAATACTCGTTGGGGGATCATGTTTTGGAATGGGGCCATGGAACTGAACATTATGTATTTGCTCAAGACATTGTACTAAGTACCGATTAATGTGTAACGTACAGAGTGGTTACATTGGATGGTGAATATGAATCTACGTTCTCCATCGGGAAAGGTACTCGTAGAGGGTGGTCGTGGATCAAGCATGTGGCCTTACATACGAAAAATGGGGTGGTGGGCGGTTTAATTGCACAAAAGCAGCTCCTTTTCATCCAAATGCGCTGGGGGCTCTGTGTCAGTACTGGTAGGCAATACGGAATAGGAAACTTACCCGCAACATCTTCCCGATCCTCGTTCGTGGGAGCAGTCGCCATTGTATTGGACATGTCAAAGGACATCGACCACAGCTGTTTACGGAATGTGTACTCGCTGAGCTCACTCTCGATCTGGCTTCGCATCCTGGCGAGAATGGACTCGTCCTCGGACGTGGGTGGTAGCCAGCCCGGTGTCAGACCACCGTGGCAGCCGTCGAACGCCACTTTCGACGACGAGGGACGCCGCTCGTTAAATTCCTGCAGCCATAGGTAACAAGGGTAACAGTGAAGTTTTGAGGAAAAGACATAGGGAATGAGGTCCTCGTTGGCAAGAGGCTCTGCATCACCCACGACTCTCGCGACCAGTTCACACTCGGGGTGGATTCTAGGGCTGATAGTTAGTTCCTTATCAGTAGACGAAGCCGCCATGGTCCGGAGATCGTTCTGGAAGTCTGCGAGAGTGACGTTCGAAGGCTTCCAGGTGTTGAACTCGCTCAGATGAAGTCGGATGGGCTTTGCCGGTGGAAGTGAGATCGAGTCGACTTGTAGCTCAAGACCGGCAATCCACCCACGATGAGGGGACAGTGCGAGCCCGACCAGGGTCCGCACAGCCGATTCGATTTTGAGAGCTTTTTTAAGACTCTTTTCAAAGTCGAAGCCTAGGGATCGCTTGAGATGAAAACAGACCGATAAATGTGGTCCTCACCGAGCTTTTTTGCCCTGACTTGAAGCTGCTCAGCTACATCGGGGGTATACTCGCCACCAACAGTCATATTATATAAGCCTGCAGTTGCGTCGAGAAACATCGGCCAATCCTCAGTGGATTTGTCGAGACCCATCTCGGCCACCGCCGCTGCTGCCTTTGTGACAACTGAGAAATAAAGGACGAATTTCTTTTGAAATTCTGTACTGGAAGGGTCCGCTAGCAGTTCGGAATAGAGGTTGCTGAGTGGTTCAAGTCTTTTGATGACCCTTGCGACAGCCTTTTGTTGCACGAAGCTGTAAACCACATCAAGCATTTTGACAGCGATGTCGAGCTGTGCTTTAGGAAGCGTAGTAGAAGCGTCGGCGGTGGGCATCGATACTGCTACGTTCTTTCTGAGCTGCTGGACTAGTCGCCAGATAGCCGCTAGATGAATGTTAATTTCATGGGACGAGGGTCCGGCGTCCTGGCACATATGCAAGATAATCTTGCTGGGAGACAAGGTCGCCATTACGGTGACCTTGCCTGGGCCCGAATACGCCGTACACACTGTGACCAGCGCGTGCATTACATTCACAAATTTCTGTTGACTGCGCGGATCCCAGGCGAAGCGCGGCCTGAGTACCGACTCGCGGTGGTTCATTGCATTTCGCTCCCCTCGTCCCAGGAGGGTGTTTTTGCGCAGTGATGCGGATGCAAGCAGCACTCGCGCCAACCTCTGTATGCCCGCATCTATGGTCTATGAATTTGATCAACTAACGGTAATCGCGAATACTTGAGGCAACTAACGGGGAGAGTGGATGGTGAGGAAGAAGAGGATGCGTTAGGAGTGGATTGCGGCGAAGACTACGAGTGTCGAAAATGGTCAGCCGAAGTTGAAGGTAACCGCAAATATTGAGGAGACTGACAGGGCGTATCGGTGCAAGACGCAGCTATCAATATGGTCAGCCAAGACGATGAGAATAAACATTTGAGGCAACTAACAGAGGGTTCGGAGGTCTTAGAGGAAGAGGGGCTGGGGGCGGCGGACTGTGAATATGGTCAGTACACCAGTAATCACAACTGTTTCGGCAGTAGACAGGATGAACCAAACGGCAATATATGAGCGTTGGGAACAACTAACGGTCGAAGGCTCCATCTTGGCTGTGGCGAGAACTCCGAGAAGGGGTTTACCCCTAAAGATCTTATTTTGGTTCTCCAGTCTCTCCTTTCCCCAATATGCTTCTGTGAGGACAGCTAACATCGGCCTGATGGTCTAGTAGTATGATTCCTTGTTAGGGCTTTCACGTGATGAAAATTACGTAAGCAGCGTTCGAGACAGAGGTCCCGGGTTCAATTCTCGGTTAGGCCCTTTTTAATTCTTTTTTGCACACCCTACAAATGATTCTGAACTCTCCGCTTTCTTCCCAGCATCTCAAAACACTTTTTTTGGAAGTTCGGAAGAAGCGAAAACGCGTTTTTGAGATGCGTATTGATGCGAAAACAAGAATTGCCTTTTATGGATGCGAGCGTTTGTTTGTTCCCGCTTGTGGCGGTCGTCTTATGTACAACTTGGTGGAGTGCGAGCAGGCCCGGCAGCTGCGCATGCTCGTCGTCTCGTCCGATCTCGCGGCGTGTCTCCGCCATCGCGCTCTCAAGACAGTGCCGTCGGTGCGGCAGCGGAAGGACGGGACTGCGGTGGCGAATGCGAGCCGGGTCATTCACTGGTGCGGACACTGTGTAATACAGTGCCAGGGCTCGAAGTGTAGATCAGCGTGCTGCGCGGAAGCGCGGTGTGCACACTCGTGGGCTCGGGATGCGCAGGGTCGGGGCGGGGCTTGGCGGACCGATTTTGGTGACGTGCGCACGAGACAAGCGGAGGTACGTCGTATGCTGTTGGGAGCTTGTCTAATCCAGGGCTCTGCAAGTCTCCCGCTAGTTGTATCCGCAGAGTCCTCATCCTCACATCATACTCCGACGATGAACCGCGTGGAGTTGACGGTGGACAGCCGGGAGATCCTGCGCTGTGTCGGCGGACTTTTCGTGTGCGTCTGTGGGTTCGCTGCACTGCTACTGCATCGCATCTTCACCTTCAAATCTTCACCCGCATGTGAATGCCACAGAGACGCACATCTCGTCGACGACTCCGCACGAGATCAACGCTCGGAACCTCGAGGGGTTCATCTACAACGCGGACTCCGCCGAGTGCAGATGTAAAAACCCTGGACTAGATCGTGATGTGTACTTCATCAGCATCCGCGGGATTGACAGCAACAATGTTGCCTCGGCGAGTGAATGCGCGTTCTTTGGGCTGCAGGAGTAGATGGAGACGATGTTGATGCGAGAGGTGTTCCCGACCCTAAAATGCACGGCATATGAGCAAGGGGAACGGTTTGATGCGGGCCTGGAGATGCCTGTGAGTGCCATCTATTTCTCTTCAATTATTTCTCTCTGAAGCAATACAATATTGCGCAGAATCCAACTACCGCCGCGCAGACGCCGATATTAATCTGGATAGAATAATATGGCTCACATCGGTCATTCGTGAGTCTTCGGAGAGATTATACTCGACGCCGAGATGAATATGGCTCACTGCAGGCCCCGTCGGAGATTAGTGAGTCCTCGTAGTTTTTTCTCCCGCCACTTGTGTTTAATATTATTATCTTATCCATACACCACCTCCTTCTCTCAGATGCGACTTCTCGGAGGCGCCAGCTGGTCTGAAATTGAGAACCAGCTACACCCCACTCGGTGTTCAACTTCTTCTAGATTCGCCACCTGAGCAGCCCATCGTGCAAATATGCAGCGGATCAGGAATACCTTTAATTATTCTGCCTGCTGGCAATGCTTCTGCGGAACTGTTCTTGGGTTTCCGAAGGCACTTCCAGGCAGTGCAGGTCACCGAATCGACACCTTTTGATTCATTGGAAGCGACAGATATGCGCCAAGAGACCGCTTGGTCCGTACAGATTTGCCGTTTACTCTTCCTCAAATCTTCTTGGTGTCGCCTTGACCAAAATTATGGAAGACGCGCGTGAGCAGGTTGCACAGCTCACCTTCATCGACCATTCTTCAGCTCTTTGGATTCGAGGCGCTGTTGTGGGAACTGACAGCGGCGGAATTCCTGGACATGAGTCTGCCTTGTGCATGCTTCGTGGTGATCCCACCACCAGGACAGAGGCGGCCGCGACTTATCAGGCCGCTCTTGATGGCTCGGCCGATGCACCACCCACTAGTCGCTTTCAGGCCAAAATCACTGCGGCCTTCTCTTCAACTTCCTTCTACAGTTCTATCCTAAACAAAGCGAGAAATCTTTGGGCCTTTCAAAATGTGGCTCTTCTCCGCCAATGCTCCAATCGGGATCATCGTCGCGGAGCACGGCATCGTACGCTCTATGCTGGACGGACGTTGACATCTGCCACCACAAGTGGTTGTCTTGAAGGCGCCATACCCTAACATTGCGCAGTTGAGGCTTGCTCGGATTCACGCTGGTAATGAGCAGCCTTTTGGCCTATATTTGTTTCTGATCTCTCCCGAGATTCCTTGGGCCCAGAATCTGTTGAATCGTAGCTACTGTATAGAACGAAGAGAGTCACTGCGTTGAAGCCCTTCGTAGTCACAGGGTATGGCTACAGGGGTAGACAAGTGGGTAGACATGGGCATATGTGTACATGGGAGTAACGGTGTAAACACAGTTGTTGCCGCATGGTCTACCCCCACCCAAACTGTGTCTACTCGGAGGTACCTTGGTAGACCCAGGGTTTGCCCAGGGTAGACCCAGGTACGCCAAGTTGGAGAATGTTTGGAAGCTCCAATTTACATTGATAGGCTTGTAGCAGTATTTTCCAAGTAAGTCGTTGTGCAATGATTCTCAACGTCAATTCTGATGTGGCCATGATTACCAAAGTTATGGCATGTTTGGCTCTCTGATGCGGCACAACCCGGACGTGGCACTGGCGGCGTGCCATTTCAAACCTTCAGACACGCTCTCATAGTCTACGAGCTTATCATAATTAAGGTTATATGGTATGTCGCGGTGGGTCCACATTGGGCTACCCGATATAGCCCAATGTAGTCACACTGTGACAGCATGTGACTACCTCCTGTGTACCAGGCTACCCAAGCGTAGCCAAACACATATGTCGATCCCCTCGTATACCAAGGGTAGGCCATGGGTAGACCAATGTGACCCAATGTGAACCAATGTAGCCAGCCTCTGACTACAAACGGCCTCAACGCAGTGAGTCAGGAAGTCTCGCTGGTCATACTAATACTTCACTCCTACTCAATCCCACTGATCAGCATCCCAGAATTTGAGCGGAGGTAAGTACAATATATTAACCAACTAAATTCGATGCGACGGTTTTTGTTGAATGTACAGACCAGATTACTCCTTGAAGGATCAAAACCAGATAAAGCATTACGACAGCAGGCGGGGCGAGGTAATTGCGAAAGCGAGGGAGGTATGAGCATGGGCAGTTCCTCAGTGATTGTGTCGCCTCTTGAGGGCCATGGCCAACGCGGCTGTTCCGCGGTTGGTGGAGGTCAGATGGGTACGCATGTGGGTTTCCTTTAGGATCTTTTACGCCGATTATGGTGAGAATTTTTTACATAATCAGAAGACGATCAAAGCACCTCTAGGTGAGTGTTAAATGTCTGAATTTCGTCCCTGCATTGAAACAGCGTGATAGAGCGTCCTTTGAAAAAATCCCCAAGTGCCGTCCAAGTCGACAAGGAATTACGGAGGCTGTCCTCGCGAATTTCGGACACCTTCTTCTGGAGGCTACTCGATGGTCAGTGAAATATTCAATAAATCCATAATACGGCTCACCCCAGCAACTCTTCTTCTGTGCTAGCATCTCGAGGAAGCTCTCCAGCCTCAACGGCATCGTAATATAATTTCTCCGTTTCTTTCATGACAGTCACCAAGACGCGGGTTAGGCGCATCGGCCATATGTGAAGGAACATGATGGCCAGGGCCGCCAGGACAAGGATGCAAGCGCCAAGCGAGGCCGCGACGATGTGATTGTGGAAGACGGAGTCCCCGAGCGAAGCAAAGACAAGAGAGGTTTCACCAAAGTTGGGCATCTGGGCAATGCATTTGTGTCTGGCCCGAAACCCTTTTTATATCGGTGAGCGCCATTAAAACGAGCGCTTGTTCGCGACGATAATGAGACGCTCCGTCCGGGTCAGCGCCTTTGACACACAACAGCTGGCCATCTGGACTATTTCCGTGGAGACGGTCGGCAGTGAGCTCCCTCTCACCCTATCCATGAAGCGAAGATCGAGAAAGCGCGAGGTTGAAAGCGACGCAAGCAGAGTTCCAGGCAAAAAGGGAGGAGGAGGTCTGAAGATGAAGCCAAGCATTTAACAGCTCTTGGCATACCGAAAGGGGTTGTTCAGCGGTTCCTTTTTCGGTTCATGTTGGGTTCATGACACCCAGATTCATGGAAGGAAGATGCGAGCTGGCCGGTCAATCTCCAGGCCACGCAGAAGGGCCTCGTGATAGGTATCCATGTCGAGAATTGGCGGTTTCTGAGGACTGTACGCCTGAAGGGCCTCGTGATAGGTGGGAATTGGCTGAATAATAGCCACCTCTGTCGTTTCTGAAGATCGTACGCCTCTAGGGTGCATTTAATCAATTCGATGTAAGAGTTCAAAACGATGTGACCAAACGCTCAAAACCAGCCGAGCATTTTTGGTTCTGAGAGCTATTTACGCCGCATTCTCTTCCCTCTAATGCGCCACAAGAAAGAAAGTAGTTCCGCCCCCCCGCCTTCCGAAGAAGACTGCCAAATCACCGAATCTGATTCATGGACCATGCCTTGATTCACTGGCGTGGGAGAGATTCGGTAGAGGGATTATGGACCGACTCGCCATTATGGACAGACTCACCATCATGGACGGACTCGAGGGAGGTTTCACCAAAGTTGGGCATCTGGGTCCAGGCAATGCATTTCCTGGAGCGGCGGTTCATATATATAGAAACGTTTTACTTCTTCCGAAGCGATCGGCTTTATCATCGACGGACTCGCCATCACTTCGCTAAACCAGTACGGGTGGGGTTGGGCATTTCGGACTTTTCAGACATGAACGTGGGGTGCAGATACTCAATAGATCGCAATTGACCATTTAAATTGATTTTCATCCATTTGACCTCCAAAAGTATGCGCATGAATTATCAGGAGGATCAGAATATCACACCTACAATATTCAAAAGCTCTTTTGAAATTTATGTATCAGCAACCTCCCCCGCCCACCATGCGAGAGGACCTCCCATCCGCGCCGGCGGCTTTCGCGGGTGGAGACGCTTGAGGCGGCGGAAGAGGGGGATTTGGTGGCATTTGGGCGGTTCTTTATCTCAAATATTTC